TATAAATAAATATATATATTATATATATATATATATATGAAATATATAATTTATTTCTAGAAAATATGTATTTAAAATGTCTTTTCAGCAGCTATATTTTTTTCTTATTCTAGTTTAAGATGAGTATTTTATTTGAAATAAAAGTATTGCGCCTAGCAATTTGTGCTTCCCGCTTTGACCACAACGGGGTTGTCACAGCCATATGTTGCTAATTTTTTGTCGGTTAGCGATGCGAACCATTTCCTCGAGACCCAGAGGGTCCTGTGGCACCTTAAGGTGCGTCTACACAGCAGCCTTACCTCGAAATAAGCGATGCAATTTGCGCTACACAACTCGCATAGCTTTTTTCAATCTTATTTCAAAATAGAGCGCTGTTCCAACAAGGCCCTTAACCCATGGGGAACAAGGGTTACAGGGATGTCGGAATAGCGTGCTCATTATTTCAAAAGATATTTTGAAATAACGGGTGCATTTAAAGACACGGAATTGCTATTTCGGGATACTTCTGGTATCCAAAAATAGCCCCTCTGTCTAGACATAGGCTTAGAGACTCACAAATATATATGTATATATATAGTATCATGAGCTTTCGTGGGCAAAACCCACTTCTTCAGACGAGTGGAGGAAAAAAGGGGAACCTTGAGAATATATAACAGAAAAAGAAGGGAGGGGGGAAAGAAAAAATAACCTAGGGAGTGCTGTGTGTCATTTTTACCAATCACCACTAGGTGTCACTGCCAAGTAAGGAATGGCTAGTTGTAGTTTCTGCTTACTGATACAGGTATTCTTGAGAGTTCACTGTTACTTTCCCACCGGGAAGCAACGTTCAAAAGCATCGAGGATTCTAACCATTTGGGTTTGTGTATCACCCCGTACTGCATCCAAAAGGGCAGCGGGTTGATTGCTTTACTAGTCAATAAATATATTAAACCCTGCAGCGTGTGCATCGCATTTTTGCTCACGGAGGATGTTGGGAATTGATTTTTGCCTTGCTGAAGGTCGTGGCTGCAGTGGTCTCCATTCCTTCCGGGGGCGGGAGGCCAGGGGCTGTGGCTGGGGGGAGCAGAGATGGGTGTCTACTCCAGGCTAATTTGCCTGGCCAAATTATGCCCTGTCTCCTAACCCCAACCAATCAAAAATCATAAGAACGAGACACGATACATCTTGGATCCTTTTCAGTTGCCTTCTGGCTTTTTCAGCCTGAGCGCTCATGCTTTTCTGGGCTGCCACCAGGCCTTGGGGTATCAAAAAGCTAGCTGGGCTCCACACCTGATCCCCTAGTTCCGGGAGTTGGGGTTTTAAGAAAAACAGCAATTTTCCAAGAGCCGTGTTCTCCATCACCTGCAATTTTTCAGTCTAGCTTAGATGTTTGTCCAAGGGATTTTTTTCAGGGCAGGTCTCTGGCCTGGTCTGTGCAGAGGGTCAGACTGCATGCTCGGAGTGGTCCCTTGTGGTCTTGAGAGCTACAACTCTAGCATGGGACTTTGCAGAATTTGGCAACAGTTTGTGACGTGATAGCCCAGTGGAAAATAACGTGAGACAATGGATGAAAAGTGCTACATAAATATGTCCTCCTATAAGGATAGTGAATACAGCAGACCCCAAGTTGGGGTCCTTGGTGCTGCCGTGAGGGCAGGGGACTGGGCTTGATGACCTCTCGAGGTCCCTTCCCATTCTGGGATTCTATGTATTCGATTCTAATGCGCCAGGTGCTGTACAAACATAGGCAATGCCAGCCCCAAGGTATCTAAGATCCAAAAGTCAAGACCCAAGCAGTGAATGAAGCAAACCACCAGGCAGGATGGAATGATGGCCGGCTAACAGATCAGCTGTGCGCACAGTTCTTAGTTCTAATT